GTACTTATTGATTTACTCACATTTGCATGTTTCCAAACTGCTAGGATGGCAGAAGCTAGGGCTAACAGCAGGAGCTCACCCCACTCCTTGGATTTGAACTGGTGACCTTTCGGACAGCAAGATCAGCAGTTCAGCAGTTTAACCCACTGCGCCACTGGGGGCTCCCAGCATAGCCAATAGTAAGACCCAATAGGAACTATAATCGCCAAACACCCAAGGGCTGCTGTTGCCTGCTCCTGTTCTAGTTAACCTTCCTTCCAGATATATTTAGCTACAACTCCCACCGACCCTGGTTAGATGGTTGACGTTAGCTTCTCCTGCATTCTTGGCCACATTCCCTTGAAATGCCTCATTGCTTAAACACAGTGGCTACTCTTTGACTGGCTGACAAAGCAACAAAGGCCAAGTTCCCAACTACAGAGAGATTTAAAAGATACAAAGATGAACAAAAGTGAAGCGCAGAATGGGATTCACTAGACAGTGGAAAAGTTCCTGCTTCTACGATGTTTGGAAAAAAGGAGAGCTGTAGCTGCCAATCAAAACCCAGTTCTGGAGGAAATAGAATTCAACATGTGTGAAAATATGGGGTTGATTTATTTAAATGGCACTCACACATGGTTCTCTGAACTTCCCAGTGCCACTTAACTTCAGCAAAGTGGCTGCATTGTGTGCCCTTAGACCATATCTTGGATTTATATTTTGGAGACATAACCTTTTGGAAAATGGCATTCATAACCTTTTGGGAAAACTAGGAATCTTTTGGAAAGGCATGACCTTGTTAGAGATTGTCACCTTTTTAAAAGTATGATCTTCCTTAGAAGAGTTTAAAACTTGCTTGAGTCAACCTTCTGCTAAGTGGTAAATATCCACTAGTATTCATACAAGGCAATTAGGTTTCGCAGCTGTTAAACTAGGAGCCCCTGTGGTGCAATGGGTTAAACCAGTGGTTCTCAACCTGTGGGTCCCCAGGTGTTTTGGCCTACAACTCCCAAAAATCCCAGCCAGTTTACCAGCTGTTATAATTTCGGGGAGTTGGAGGCCCACAGGTTGAGAATCACTGGGTTAAACCCTTATCTTGGCAGGACTTGCTGACTGACAGATCAGCAGTTCGAATCCGAGGAGAGTAGGTTGAGCTCATTCTGTCAGCTCCATCTCCCCATGCAGGGACATGAGAGAAGCTTCTCACAAGGATGGTAAAATATCAAAAACATCCGGGTGTTCCCTGGGCAACGTCCTTGCACACAGCCAATCCTCTCACACCAGAAGCGACTTGAAGTTTCTCAAGTCACTCCTGACACAAAAAAGCTGTTAAACTGATATATCTGTATACAATGTTTGCTCACTACTTTGTGATTCACTTTTAGCGGTCTTGCTGTTTTGCGGGTTTTTGAAAATATTAATAAATGATAAAATATTAAATATTTACGTCCAAGGCAGGCATGTAGCCGGGGGGGGGGGGGGGGGGGGGGCTCGGGGGGCTTCAGCCCCCCCCCGAAATTTTCATGGTGGTTCGCGAAAAGGCCTTACTGGTGCATTATTTAAACTGTTATGTTTATTCATATCATGATCTGATCACCATACTCAATATATCCAAGCATGGTGGTATTGGGGTAACAATACAAAAGGTTTGCTAGGTAGACCCTCTTTCTCACTCAGACTCAGCCCCCCCCGAAACTCACCCCCCCCCCAACCCCCTGAAAAAAATTCCTCCCCCCCCCCCCCCCCCCGGAAACGAAATCCTGGCTACGGGCCTGGTCCAAGGGATCAGAAGTAGTGAGGTCAGAGTGTTAGTGATCCACCGGAAGCGTTCCGAAGCTCTAGGTGCTCTTACTGCCTATTACAGGGAAAACCAGCTGATCCCCAACCCATCTAAAACACAGACATGTGCCTTTCATCTCAAGAACAGACAAGCATCCCGAGCTCTGAAGATCACCTGGGAAGGAATCCCACTGGAGCATTGCAGCACACCCAAATACCTGGGAGTCACGCTGGACCGTGCTCTGACCTACAAGAAGCACTGCCTGAACATCAAGCAAAAAGTGGGTGCTAGAAACAATATCATACGAAAGCTGACTGGCACAACCTGGGGATCACAACCAGATACAGTGAAGACATCTGCCCTTGCGCTGTGCTACTCTGCTGCTGAGTACGCATGCCCAGTGTGGAAGACATCTCACCACACTAAAACAGTGGATGTGGCTCTTAATGAGACATGCCGCATTATCACGGGTGTCTGCGCCCTACACCACTGGAGAAATTACACTGCTTAGCCGGTATTGCACCACCTTACATCCGCCGGGAAGTAGCAGCCAATAGTGAAAGGACCAAGGCAGAGACATCTCCAGCTCATCCCCTGTTTGGGTATCAGCCAGCACGTCAACGACTTAAATCTAGAAATAGTTTTCTAAGATCTACAGAGACACTCGCTGGAACACCTCAGCAAGCGAGAGTCCAAAAGTGGCAGGCTCAAACCCAGGACCTCAACCAATGGCTGATACCAAATGAGAGACTCCCCCCTGGGCACACAGAGGACTGGGCGACTTGGAAGGCGCTGAACAGACTGCGCTCTGGCACCACGAGATGCAGAGCCAACCTTCAGAAATGGGGCTACAAAGTGGAATCCTCGACATGCGATTGTGGAGAAGAGCAAACCACTGACCACCTGCTGCAATGCAACCTGAGCCCTGCCACATGCACAATGGAGGACCTTCTTGCAGCAACACCAGAAGCACTCCAAGTGGCCAGATACTGGTCAAAGGACATTTAATCAACTACCAAACTCACAATTTTCATATTTTGTCTGGGTTTTTTTTTTTGCTTTGTTCTGTTAGAAATGTAATATAATTGACTGGTTGCACTGACACGATAAATAAAATAAGAGTGTTAGTGTTTGCTGTTACTGGAATGGCAATAACCTGCTCCCCAAATTGGCGAGGAACTGATAAAGAGACTCTAAATCTAGTCAGAAAAGAATGGCGCACAACACATTTCTGATCCAAAGGGTCAAACCTACAAATGGTCTGACCCCTTAGATCGAAATATGTTGCATGCCATTAACTGACTGATTGTGTTGATCCTTCACACTTGCACTTACATTGTCCAGAAATCAATCTCTCAAGCTTGCCAGCTTACAAATGAACCTTGCTGCACAGTTGTGCTATTGATGCTCACACTGGTCACAGTTTGGGAGAAGTGCTTTATTTGCCCCAAGCTGTAGCATCCTGGTCTGGACTGGCAGTGGTTGTTATGGCTGCTATTATTAACTTGATTTATACCCCATTTTTTCCTCCATGATTGGGATTCAAGGCAGTGTACCAACTAAATCGATTGCAATATAGCCAAAAACATACAAAATGTTAACAATTAAAGTCTCAGTACTATTAGAACCATCTAAGAATGCTTCTAAAAAGAGTTTGAAAAGTTATGCAGCACAATTTGAACAATACACATTTTCTTATCAGTCCTTTCTTAAGCCCTTCAGTTCTTAAGCCCTGCATATATAAAACAGTTTCTGGCTGGGCTGTTGTAGGTTTTTTCGGGCTATATGGCCATGTTCTACAGGCATTCTCTCCTGACCTTTCACCTGCATCTACGGCAAGCATCCTCAGAGGCATCCTCACCTCACTACCTCTGAGGATGCTTGCCACAGATGCAGGCAAAACCTCAGGAGAGAATGCCTCTAGAACATGGCCATACAGCCCGAAAAAACCTACAACAATCCAGTGATTCCGGCCATGAAAGTCTTCGGCAATACATAGTTTCTGGCTGCATCCACAATGTAGACTTAATGCAATTTGACATCACTTTAATCAACATTGGGAGATATAATTTTACAGTCTTTAGCCTTCACTACCAAAGACTACTGGCGCTTCATCAAACTGGAAATCCCAGACCTCTATAGCTTAAGACATGGCAGTTAAAGTGGTACCAAACTGCATTACTTTTATTGTTATTACAGTAGAGCCTCGCTTATCCAACATAAATGGGCCGGCAGAAAGTTGGATATGTGAAAATGTTGGAAAATAAGGATGGATTAAGGAAAAGCCTATTAAACGTCAAATTACTTTATGATTTTACAAATTAAGCACCAAAATACAACAAATCGACAGAAAAAGCAGTTCAATACACAGTAACATTATGTAGTAATTACTGTATTTATGAATTTAGCATCAAAACAGACAAGGGGGTATTTCTTTCTCCCACCCTGAACTGTGTCGAATAATACAGAACGTTGGATGAGTGGAGGTTGGATAAGGGAGACTCTACTGCAGTGGTTCTCCACCTGTGGGTCCCCAGATGTTTTGGCCCTCAACTCCCAGAAATCCTTACAGCTGGTAAACTGGCTGGGATTTCTGGGAGTTGAGGTCAAAACATCTGGGGACCCACAAGTTGAGAACCACTGCTCTACCTTTATTTTTATCCCACCCTTCTCCCCATGGAGACTCAAGGCAGCTTACAATAACACGACACAACCCAATACATTTAAAAACATGACAAAAAAATTAAAAACAATTAAATATTTATGTCATAGATCAACTTAATAGACAGTTAAGAGACAACATAAATACTTGTAAAATTAAAAATACGGTACATTTAAAACTAAATACCCTTCCCAACTTCCCTCTAGTTGCCACCCACAACCTCCCCAGCATTAATTCTTCAGTATAGATACACTCTTTGTCTTCTGATGAAGAGACAGTAAGGAGGGGCTGTTGTTTCAGACGTCTTAGTTTCAGAAACTAGGGGTTCCCATTGAGAAGGTTCCTTCACCAACCACATATGTAAAAAAGGTTGGATTGAAAGAAGGAACTCTTTCAATCAGGACCTGACAGGGTCAAATGCGGAGATATGGGTCTGTCCGATAGCTTGTGTCTAAGTCATATTCTGCAAATGCCTTTGGATGGGTTGGTTTCACTCGCCTGATCTTTACCTATCACAGAACCAGAGACTCAACCAAGCACCCCACACTCTCAGGTGAAATGACTTGCCAGTGCACTCACCTGACTCGGCCACTTTGGAGATGTCTACTCCCTGCTCTGCTGCCATGAAGCCCAGAATGGAGAAAACCACGAAGCCAGAGAAGAAGCTGGTCCCACTATTGATAAGCGCCAGGATGATGGCGTCTCTGGGGAGGGAAGGCAAAGATTTAGCAAAGTCAATATTGTTGGGGTAGAGAAGAATGGGAAGAGGTTTTTACTCAAGTTGCCTAGGACTCTGGAAAGTGACTGGCACAGTCAACATTGAGCTGTTTGGAACAGAGCTCAGAAGTCATCACGTTACAGTAGGCCTTCATTCATGGAGGACAGGGGTGCAAAACCCACTCAAAAGTGGGAAATCCATGAATATCTAGGTACTCCAGCACAACTCTGTAATCAACTTCCAGCCAAAGTATCTACAAATGCCTTCAGAAATGGAAGAACTACAAATGCCTACAGAATTGTTCTCTCTTGGAACAACTACGTTCTCCAGAGCTAATTTATGGTGAGCCTCTGGTGGAAGTTTACCAGAGTTATGCTGGATGATCTAGAGCAGTGGTTCTCAACCTGGGGTCCCCAGATGTTTTTGGCCTACAACTCCCAGAAATCTCAGCCAGTTTACCAGCTGTTAGGATTTCTGGGAGTTGAAGGCCAAAAACATCTGGGGACCCACAGGTTGAGAATCACTGATCTAGAGAATCCTAGAGAGAATGTATCAAATCAAATTTGCAAAAGTTACATCTGCAAATGTGGAAGCAGACTGCAATAACTCTCTTAGAAACTAATAAGTACAACAATACCTTAATGTGGGATAACATTCCTTTTGCATATGTAGCTGAATATTTTAGTTACTTTTATAGTTACAGTTGTTTGTGGCCTTGCTAAACAGTGGAATAGGAACATCTCATAGCTTGTGTGCTTCTGTGGGTTTAGACGTAATGGTAAGAGGAATGTGAAGCTAATGTGTTTTGCACTGCAGGCCAGTGACTTGTAGTATTCAGATTTCTTACCAATGGCTATGCTGCCTAGAATGGCTGGAATCTGCAGTCCAACATCTGGGAGGGTGCATTTTTAATTACATTTGAAGGGGCACTTGGTACTAAGATGGCAACTAATTTTACTTTTAATTATTCTTATTTGGTAAGAAATAAGAAAGGCAGATTTCACCAGCAATGCCTAATAAACCCAGTGAGTGGACACCAAGTCATGGGCTTGGCATCTTGTCAGTAGAGGACATCCATTTTCCACTGGCAGGCATGACAACAATTCTAGAACTTGATGGCTGTGTATTATGAGGTCTGAAGCTCAAAAAGGGAAACAGGTGACCCTGGGCTTAATGAGAATTAGACATGCCTACTGTTGCATGGGGTCATGTTGCTGAAGAACCGATAGAGGAAGGCAGAGAAGTTTGGTGGCAAGTGAGGGTCTGTGCTACAGCAGCAGCAAGAGGAAGCATGGAGGTGAACACAAGAGGGTTAGACTTTGGTCATCCATGTATTTTTTCAGTGATGTCATAAGACCTGGTGAAGTTGGCAGTGAAGGGTTGTCACTCAACCCAAAACAAGAAAGCTTGGGGTTGGAAAGATATGTAGAGCATTTCATAGGGCAAGCATGCATGTATAGCCAAGCAAAGTCTGATTAGGACACATGTGGACAATTTGTGGTTCTCCAGCTAGTTGGGCTACCTTTTGCTATACTAGCTGAAACTGCTGGGACATGAAATCTAGCACCACTAGGAAGGAAACACTGAATACTGGGCAGAAGTAGAGGTGGAGAGATAGTTGAGCAGAGGGACCTTCAAGCACTCCTTGTGACCATGTTACAGTGTGGAGTTTTATTGTTTAGCACAGCACTTTGTTGCAGGCATCCTCAAACTGTGGCCCTCCAGGTGGTTGGGCCTCCAAATCCAAGAATTCCTGACCATTGGATAAGTTGGCCAGGGCTTCTGGGAGTTGGAGACTAAATAGGTGCAGTTTGAGGAGACCTGGTTAATCCAAAGGCAGAAGGAATCTTGAAAATGGCACAAGTTGCTCGCCCTTTGTTCCATTCATTAGAACTGAGCCATGTTGAGAATTCAGGAATTTGAATGGATTTTTGGCACCTCCTCATTGCTGTATTCATAAAACATTTAGTCAGCCTTGTGAGTAAACAGAGAAGGTAATGATTCAGTCCTGGTATGGTCAAAAGGTTTTTATTCAAGTGTCTCCTTTCCGCTGTTAGTGCGATCCTATGCATATTCATTCTGTAGCTAATTCTGCACAGAGATGCTTCCTAAATATCCAATTCATTGGAATATTTGGTAGTACTGGCTAAGGACTGCTCAGTTGCCAACATCTGACAACCCTGGGCATTATTCCACAGATATATAAACCTCACTTGCCTAGTTTCCAACAGACATCACAACCTCTGAGGATGCCTACCATAGATGTGGGCGAAACATCAGGAGAGAAGGCTTCTGGAATACAGCCATACAGCCCAGAAAATGCACAACAAACCACTGTTTTCAGTTCAGTGGCAAATTTTAACTTACTCTATCAAAATCATAAAAAACAAGGGAGCAGAACACTTATCCATCTAGGTATCAGATGAAAAGGCCAAGGTAAGAAGTACTAGGTATCCAATGGGCAGACAAAGGTTTCCTACATAAAGGATCTTTGTCTCAAATTTCTTTGAGATATTAACAGCTCCTAATGGCTCCTAATGACTGTTCCAGCAGTCACCAGCCAATCCCTTTCCAATGTCAAAGATACAGCTTCATGGTGTAACATTAGGAAATGTCGACAATTTCCGCTACCTTGGCAGCCACCTCTCCACCAAAGTCAACATCAACACCGAAATACAACACTGCCCGAGCTCTGTGAGTGCAGCATTTTTCAGAATGAAGCAGAGAGTAGGGATACCAAGGTTCCTTTTTATAAAGCTATTGTCCTCGCAACCCTGCTATATGCCTGCAAAACGTGGATGTCTACAGACGTCACATGCAACTCCTGGAACGATTCCATCAGCGCTACCTCTGAAAAATCCTGCAAATCTCTTTGGAAGATAGGCGGACAAACGCCAGCATGCTGGAAAAAGCAAAGACCACCAGCATTGAAGTGATGGCCCTCCACCATCAACTCCACTGGACCGGCCACATTGTCCGGATGCCCGATCACCGTCTCCCAAAGCAGTTGCTCTAATCTGAACTCAAGAATGGAAAACGGATTATTGGAGGACAGGAAAAGAGATTCAAAGATGGGTTCAAAGCCAACCTTAAAAACTCTGGCATAGACACTGAGAACTGGGAAGCCCTGGCCCTTGAGCGCTCCAGCTGGAGGTCAGCTGTGACCAGCAGTACTGCAGAATTTGAAGAGGCACGAATGGAGGGTGAAAGAGAGAAACGTGCCAAGAGGAAGGCGCGTCAAGCCAACCCCAACCGAGACCGACTTCCACCTGAAAACCAATGCCCTCACTGTGGGAGAAGATACAGATCAAGAACAGGGCTCCACAATCACCTATGGACCCACCAGAACACTGATCCTGGAAGACTATCCTACTCGGCCAACGAGGGATCACCTAAGTAAGTAATGGCTCCAGACTCACTCCAAAGCAAGAATGGGAAACTCACAGCCTTGGGGATTTAGGCAGCTCTTGTTTCCTGCCTTTGAAGGTCCTGTTGCTCTTATCCTCACCATCCATGCCATAGAAGCGATGTTAGATTGTTCCTTTTCCTTCTTTTCCCTTCGCTTTGCTCTATGTGCTTTGTAATCTGGCAGTACTGCATCATACAGAGCTGCTACAGCGGCTGCTGAATTTGGGCAACGACTTTGGTACTAGAAAATTCAGCGATTGTCACCAAATTTCAGTATCAGAAGTGCCCAATCCTGTGGTCGCTGGATGGTGGAAGAAGGCCCATTCTATAAGCCTTTTCACTAATATTCCACTTTTGCTTTTAGAGCACTCCTTTGTGGCAAGGCTTGTGAGAAATGTCTATGGCAGTCACTGCGCACAAGACTCAGTTCAACTTTCTATACAAACACATAAATAAATAAATCTTTCAAAAAGTCCTTTCTTTTATTAAAAGGATTCCGGTTACAGGATCCAGCTTGCCTAGGCATGATCTTACCGTTACAGGCACTATGGAATTGTGCCGTGATTGGAATTTACAGGCACTAAAAAAAGTTGACTACTAAATTCAGCCACAGGTTATGAACCTTTGCAGTCATCAAGGTATGAACTTGGGCGCACACAGTGATTGAAAAGCTTTGGATTTTGTTCCTTTTCTTTCTGATATTTTGTGATAAAAAGTCCATAATAAATAATAAAATAGGAAAGAACAGAAACACCTGGGACTTTCTGATCTTTTTAATCCATCTGGGTACACACTCAGTTCCTGCAAAACTGAGTTCAAAGTACTCAGTATCTCAGCGGGGGGAAGAAGATAGGAGACGGAAAATTGCTTTTTCTCTGTATTTTCTATAGAGTTGTCCTTTAATATGTATGGACTTCTTCAGTTCTTTAAAGCTACTAAAAAACTACTTAAAAAACTAAAATAAATAAATACTGAGATTTAATATTTGAATTCATGGCCCTCTTTCAAATCACAAAATGCATAGATTTTAGACCTGTGAAATATTTTCTTTGTAATAGAATCCTAAAAAAATAATAATCAACATAGTGCAAAAAACATACGTATTAAGACATTTGAAATGTGAGCACCTGAACTGAAAAGGACTCACAGTTCTTCCACTCGAAAATCCATTCCTGGTTACTCTAAACTTTATTCATTCTAGAAATATGACTTAAAGGAAAGGAATAATTAACTGAAGTCCCTTCCACACAGCTGAATAAAATCCCACATTATCTGCTTTGTCAGCGTGGGCTCAGATGTTCCAGTTCAAAGCTGATATTGTGGGTTATTTTGCCTTGATATTCTGTTTAAATGTTTAAATTTTATACTGTATGTGGTTATGGCATTGAATGGTTGCTGGGTTGTAAGCCGCCTTGAGTCACCTTCGGGTATGAGAAAGGCGGAATAGAAATACGAGGGGTATTTTTAAGTAAGGTCCGTTTTGTTGTAGACACTAGTAGTTCGTGTGCATACTGCAACGAGTGCGTGCATCGTGTACCGGCATGCCTCGGGAACAACTGTGCTCAGTTTCCGCTCTGTAGCTAACCTGTACGGTTCTGTTCTGTGCTTTAAAAATGTTTAAGACTATCAACTCACCCGCCGCATGTGAGGTTCGCTCAGTGATACGGTTTTTGTCAGCAAGGAACCTGCCTGCTGCAGAAATTCATCGACAGATTTGTGAAGTGTACGGTGATACTGTTATGAGTGAAAGCAAAGTGCATCAGTGGGTACGACAATTCAAAGATGGCCGTGACAACGTCCATGATGAGGACCGCTCCGGTTGACCTTCTTTGATTACAGACGGCAGTGAACTCTTTGTTATCGGAGCAGGCGGCAAGTTTTTATGAAGAGGGTATTTTAAAATTGGTTCAGAGGTATGATAAGTGTTTGAACAAACTTGGCAACTATGTCGAAAAATAGAGTGAAGTATGTACTTTCTGAAAATAAATTTACTTTTTTGAAATATGTTGTGTACTTATGTTCCAACGGACCTTACTTAAAAAATACCCCTCGTAGTAAGAGTAAAAGTTGTCCCCTGACATTAAGTCCAGTCATGTCTGATTCTGGGGTGTGGTGCTCATCTCCATTTCTAAGCCGAAGAGCCGGCATTGTCTGTAGACACCTCCAAGGTCATGTGGCTAGCATGACTGCATGGAGTGCCATTACCTTCCCGCCGGAGCGGTACCTATTGATCTACTCACATTTGCATGTTTTCGAACTGGTAGGTTGGCAGAAGCTAGGGCTGACAGCGGAAGCTCATGCCGCTTCCCAGAATCGAACCTGCGACCTTTCGGTCAACAAGCTCAGCAGCTCAGCGCTTTAACCCACTGCACTACCGGGGGCACATAGAATAGAATAGATCAGAATAGAAAAATTGTAAATAAATAAATAAATAAATAAATATGGCTGTGTGGAAGGGCCCTGAGCTACTGCTGGAAACAGTGGGAATGGGAAGTCTTTGAACAACTGCTTTTACGAATCTTCCAGGAATCTGCAAATGTGATACACCTTCTGCCCTCCTTGGCCATCTTCACTTTAAACTTGCAGCTGAGAATGCAATAAAGTTTGAGAAAACAGGAAGCTAGTGGGAAGGCAAAGGGAATGTTTTCCTCTCCCTGTCCTACTCTGCCATGCCTTTTTAATAAGGCTCCTGAGAAAAGCTACTCTGCACCCTAGATGAGTCAATCAACTTGGATTGCGAACTGGACACAAAACAACCAAGTAGTAAACAAAAGCCGGTTCTTCCTCCTTTAACAGCCCTTTGATGTGCAGAAAACAGCAGGTGACACCTTCTGCGTGGAATGGAGGCCTTGCGCTAACGTCTGAAGGACCAACGGGTTCAGCTCTTCCTAGCTTGGAGCCAATGGGTGATGGTGCTTGGCCTGTTGAATCTCTATTGCCATGCTGCTATCAAGTGGTCAGAAGCTGGGGCTGGGGTAGATGGGGGGACATGGTGGCAACCCTCCAGGGCATGACACCAAATCCTCCCATGCCCTGCCAGCTTGCCGTCAGATGGCTACATAGGAAATGGACTCTCACTTATAGCAATTGTTGTTGAACCGGTTATAGCTGCCCAGGGCAGTGAGTGCCCCCAGTCCTATGGCATACGAGAAAAAGATTTGGGTCCCGGCATCGATCCACACCTGAGAGGGAAGAAGAAAGAGAAAGAGAGACAGATTGAGACATGGATCGGAGAGAAAACTTGGAGTCACTTCTGAACAGCGCTGCCAATTTTTCAACACTTTTAGACTTTCCCATTATGAAAAGCTTTAGGTGCTGTTTACTGCTGTGAGTCGCTTATTCAATTCGTTCATGTCATTTGCTATTCAGTTTCTAAAACACCTTCCAGGTCTTGCAAATCAAACAGAGTGGAGTATAAACAATAAATAGAATCAGAGCTTGAACATTTTAACTTCTTTTTTTGGGACCAAAATAGCTCCTGGTCGCAGATGTTGTGAACCCATTAAATGTTATGTTTCCTAGCTTTGAATAGAATCTGTATTATTACTGCGATGCACATAAAAAGGAACATTCTTAAAATAGATCCACACAAATCCGTCATATAGCGGCTTCTGTCTCAGGCTGGATCTACGCTGCCATATAAGGCAGTTCGGAACTGCATTGTATGGTCAGTGTAGACCTGTATTATGCAGTTTAACGGCACTGAACTATCAGTGTCTGCACTGATTGTATAATACAGTGGCAAACTGCATTATAGGGCAGTGTAAATTTAGCCTTGGGTACTAAAGAGGGGCCGACTAAGGGCAAGATGGATGGATGGCATCCTTGAAATGACTGGACTGACCTTGAAGGAGCTGGGGGTGGTGATGGCCGACAGGGAGCTCTGGCATGGGCTGGTCCATGAGGTCACGAAGAGTCGGAGACGACTGAACGAATGAACAACAACTAAAGATCTTCAGGACTATGTATTGTCGAAGGCTTTCATGGCCAGATTCACTGGGTTGTTGTAGGTTTTTTCGGGCTATATGGCCATGGTCTAGAGGCATTCTCTCCTGACGTTTCGCCTGCATCTATGGCAAGCATCCTCAGAGGTAGTGAGGTCTGTTGGAACTAGGAAAATGGGTTTATATATCTGTGGAACCATTTTTCCTAGTTCCAACAGGCCTCACAACCTCTGAGGATGCTTGCCATAGATGCAGGCGAAACGTCAGGAGAGAATGCCTCTAGAACATGGCCATATAGCCCAGAAAAACCTACAACAATCCATCTTCAGGACAGCCATGAATAAAGCAAAAGATTTGTAGTACTGCGTGGCTCTTTTTGGAACAGGTTAACTAACAGTTTTCCCTAGTAACACTGTGGGATTTATATTTTCCTCATTTCTATATTTATACCCAGGACTGTTTGCTTTTGGATTTTGTTTTTGTTTTACTGGGTGGGGTTAGAAATTTGTTTTAAGGCATTGCGCTGTTGAGTGATCTCTATTGATTTCTACATACCAAAGTGCTGTTCCAGCTACAGAAGGCAGTTATAACAAGTTGGCAACCCAATTCAGCTCCACCCAGCCCTGCTCTCATCCAGGCCCTCCACTTACCTGAGGGGCAGCCAGTTTGGACCAGTCGGGTTTGAGATAGTAGATGATCCCATCCTGAGCTCCAGGCAGCATCACCCCTCGAATAAGTAGTATTATGAGCACCACATAAGGGAATGTAGCAGTGAAGTAGACAATCTGGGTTGAAAGAGAGAAAGGGGGAGAAGGGAGAGAGATCAGAGCTTGAAGGGTTTCACCAAAAATGCAATCTCTCACCATTATGATCTCTTCGTTCATCTGGAGGCCCTGCTCACGATCCCACCTGCATCGCAAGCGCAATTGGAGGGGACGGGGGACAGGGCCTTTTCGGTTGTGGCCCCACAACTCTGGAACTCCCTCCCCAAGGACATCAGACAGGCCCCAACGTTGGCAGTTTTTAGAAGGAGCTTGAAGACGTGGATGTTCCAGTGTGCCTTCCCATAATAAGGACTCCCAAGCAATATGTCCCAAATGCACTTTATGAGAGAGTTAGTACTGTCTGCACGCCCACCTATCTTTAAAATAACCTATTTCCCTGGACATGTCCAGCATTTTTAAAATTTTTAATTCCTACATTTGGCCCTGCCACAGGTTTTTGATTGTGTCGTGTCACTATTGTATTGTTTTGCTTTGTTATGAGTTATTTATTGTTGTATTGTTTTTGTTATGTTTTATGATGTATTTGGGCTCGGCTTCTTGTAAGCCGCACCGAGTCCTGCGGGAGATGGTAGCGGAGTATAAATAAAGGATTATTATTATTATTATTATTATTATTATTAATTCATAGTCATGGAGCCCCCGGTGGCGCAGTGGGTTAAACCCCTGTGCCGGCAGGACTGAAGACCAACAGGTCGCAGGTTCAAATCCGGGGAGAGGCAGATGAGCTCCCTCTATCAGCTCCAGCTCCTCATATGGGGACATGAGAGAAGCCTCCCACAAGGATGATAAAAAGCACTCCAGCAAAAAGCATGCGGGGAATGTGGAAGTTCTTCATCAGTGTCACAGATGGACGATGAAAGCGACAGCTCCCCTGGCGGCCAGAAAAAGTTAAATAGCCTCTGTGTATGTCTGTATACGTTGTATGTCAAAATTGGCATTGAATGTTTGCCATATATGTGTACACTGTAATCCGCCCTGAGTCCCCTGCGGGCTGAGAAGGGCGAAATATAAAAGCTGTAAATAAATAAAATAATAAATAAATAGACTGCCATATAATCCAGTTCAAAACAGATAATCAGGATTTTATCTGGCAGTGTAGAAGGAGCCTCGAAGAAGGGAAAATTACTTTTTAAATAAAAGTGAGGACTCAGATTGGGTGACTTTTAGAGTATCAATGCAGTGTTAGGCCCCTTCTACACTGTCATGTAATCCAGATTTCTCTCACTTCCTGTTGTCTCATCCTCATTCTTAACTATGAGTCATTTGTAAGTGGGATGTTTGTAACTCGGGGATTGTCTGTATCTGGCAGTTTTGATAGGTCCAAAAAAGATAGATGCCCTGAACTTTGTTTTGGGCATTTCAACTGACATTTTTAACCATTCGGAAACCCTGTCTTGATTCCCATAGGGTCACTTTACATCTCAGTCTATACCCGCAGCAAAGAGAGAGAGAGAGTGAACACTGGTTTGGAGAAGCATCTGCCCCTCAAAGGGCCTGCTCTGGGCAACCTCTCCCTCACCCGGGCCACGTGAACACCAGTGGCCAAGTGTGGGAAGTGGTGCCACGTGTGTGCCTGCCTGCCTGCCTGCCTGCTGGGGCCCTGAGCCTCCTGCCTTCCACCTCCAGCTGCTGTCTGGGGAGAAATGTCAGATGCTCTCAGGCGTGGAACTTGCTGACGGGTGGGATTTCAAATCCGTTTGCCATGCTGAGGAGACAGAGAAGCAGGCACTGGGACTCTGAGGGGGGAAAGGAACGTGCCTTTGTGTGTGTGTGCGACAGAGAAAGCTGGGTAGAGAGAAATATTTTATAGGCTCCCTGTGTGGCCAAAGAAGGCTCCTTGACACACGCCTGAGAATGAGACAGGGCTCATATTTTGCACACGTAAGCCTAAAGTTTAATTCCATTTAGGTAATTCCTACTGGCTGAGAAAGGGAAGTTCCCTGCCTCATGGCCAACCCACCACCATGTCCTTTTTCAGTTTGACAACTATAGTCAGGGTATATAGGGCTCAGACTGATAGTCACAGTTGGCGTAAAACCAGTTGTTTTGTCCACTCCCAGCATTGGAAGACATGTTGAGAGCTATAGACAGGCCAAATCCCTACTTATAAACCTCACTAGCATTATTATTGGATTCTTTGCCTTCTTGAAAGACAAGAATGCTGAAACATGTCTTTTCAGGATAATTTTGTAAGCAGAAAAATTAGGCGCCATGGCCTTAGTAGTAAATGTTACCCACTATAAGGGGAGCTGTCTCAATACCTGCAGTTTCCCAACAAATGGATAGGGAGTAAATGCAGATGGTAGCCATAGAACAGTTTGAATAAGAAAGGATATTCATGTTTCCCATCAGGATATGGCAAAACCTTCCTCCATTATATCCAAGGGGATTCTGCCTAATCTTATCGACACTATTTCTAAAATTCCTTGGATAGAATCATACAATCATAGAGTTGGAAGAGACCTCCAGTCTCTCACACTCAGGACAGCTCTCACACTCAGGAAGTTCCTCCAGTCTCTTCCAACTCCAGTCTGGCCATCCAGTCCATCCAGTCCAACTCCAGGCCATCCAGTCCAACCCCCTGCCAAGAAGCAGGAAAATCACATTCAAAGCACCCTCGACAGATGGCCATGCAGCCTCTGTTTAAAAGCCTCCAAAGAAGGAGTCTCCACCACACTCTGGGACAGAGAGTTCCACTGCTGAACAGCTGCTGAACTAGGACACGGAACAATGGCTTCAAACTACAAGAAAGAGATTCCATCTGAACATTAGGAAGAACTTCCTGACTGTGAGAGCTGTTCAGCAGTGGAACTCTCTGCCGGAGTGTGGTGGAGGCTCCTTCTTTGGAAGCTTTAAAGAGGCTGGATGGCCATCTGTCAGGGGTGCTTTGAATGCAATATTCCTGCTTTTTGGCGGGGGTTGGACTGGATGGTCCAGGAGGTCTCTTCCAACTCTAGGATTCTATGATTCTAACAGTAAGGAAGTTCTTCCTAAAGTTCTGGGTTATATGGCATAGAATCATAGAGTTGGAAGAGACCTCATGGGCCATCCTGTCCAACCCCCTGCCAAGAAGCAGGAATATTGCATTCAAAGCACCCCTGACAGATGGCCATCCAGCCTCTGTTTAAAAGCTTCCAAAGAAGGAGCCTCCACCACACTCCGGGGCAGAGAGATCCACTGCTGAACGGCTCTCACAGTCAGGAAGTTCTTCCTAATGTTCAGATGGAATCTCCTCTCTTGTAGTTTGAAGCCATTGTTCCGCGTCCTAGTCTCCAAGGAAGCAGAAAACAAGCTTGCTCCCTCCTCTCTATGACTTCCTTTCACATATTTATACATGGCTATCATGTCTCCTCTCAGACTTCTATTTTTCGGGCTAAAGATGCCCAGCTCTTTAAGCCGCTCTTCATAGGGCTTATTCTTCAGACCCTTGATCATTTTAGTCACCCTCCTCTGGACACATTCCAGCTTGTCAATTTTTTCATTTCGGCACAAACCTCAGGATTTGCCTCGGACAAATACGGCAATGCTGAGGGAGAAAAGAATGATTCTGCTTCCTCTCATAAAAGTTTGGTGCCTTTGTCTGTGAGATCCATACTTTGCAAAGTGAGCATTGTTTGCCCAGGATATGAAATAACAGTCGAAGCAAAATGCAGGTCTGGGCTTATATCAAACAACAACATACTCAGAATTGCAATCAACCAAACAACAAACGAGTCTGGAGAAGATCTATGTCTTAAAACTGGGATATCTGTCAAATCTATATGGAAAGTAGAGATTAGGGGGTGAGGGGAAGAAGGAAAACAAAGTGGAAACAATATGAGGACAAAGATAGAGACAGATGGATTAAAGCAGGAGGGCAGCAGCACCCTTGACACCTGGGCAATGCCAGATACATACACTAATGTGAAATATAGTTTGGCGTGAACAGTTGGGGGAAAAAAAGTCTGAACACTTTCCTGCCCGCAAATTTTTGCCTCACAGCTGCTCAATCCCAGCTGCTGTTTGTCCCCCACAAAGGGGCTCCCAAAATGGAAGCAAGCCCTACTAGAGTGAAAAAAAAGGTGACAGCTGGGCCACACTATGTTTTGGGCAAAATATGCATGCAGGGGAAGAGTTCAACCTGCCCTCTGAGGCCCTACTGTGTATTTTGTGACCCTCTTCTGCTTTATATAGAGCTGTGGCTGTGGGTGCCATGTCTCATTTGAAAGTCAGACTTTTTTCCTATGACATGAAGGACAGCACCCAGTCCCACTCATGGCAGCGGCACCATAGAACTTAGAACTGTATAATCGCTCTTTGGAATAGGAGCCCTCGGTGGCGCAGTGAGTTAAACCCTTGTGCCGGCAGGACTGAAGATTGACAAGCCAGAGGTTCGAATCTGGGGAGAGTGCGGATGAGCTCCCTCTGCTAGCTCCAGCCCCCCATGCGGGGACATGAGAGAAGCTTCCCACAAGGATGGTAAAACAGTGGTTCTCAACCTTTCTAACACCGTGACCCCTAAATATGCTTCCTCATGTTGTGGTGACCCCCAACCATAAAATTATTTTCGTTGCTCCTTTATAACTGTAATTTTGCCCTTGCGCGAAGGGGCCCTCGCCTGCCCCCTGCCCTTGCTGCTCGGCGAGAGCGCGAGGGAGGCGAGGGAAGCCTCACGCAAAGCAAGGCCTTGCGCAAAGGGGCCCTCGCCTGCCCCACACCCTTGCCGGCTCGCGGAAGCGCGAGGGAGGTGAGGGAGGCCTCGCGCAAGGCAAGGCCTTGTGCGAAGGGGCCCTCGTCTGCCTCGTGCCCTTGCCGGCCGGCGAGAGCGTGAGGGAGGCTTCTGCTCAACCCCTGCCCCTTCCAAGCTCGGCAGGGGCCAAGGGTCGAGCGCAAAGATTCCCTGGACAGCCAGACCGAACGGGGAGCCTTCCTCTCGACCCTCGTGCCTTGCTGAGTTTGGCAGGGGGTGAAGGCCTTTGCTTCTAAGCTCCTCCACCTCCTGACTCCCTGCAGCCCTGTGGGAACAGGAGGTGGAGGAGCTGACCTGGAAAGCTTGGCTGTTTCCCTGGCACAGGGGCCGGCAGCCATTTTGAGGAGGTGGAGGGGATGGGGCCTTCACGACCCCCAGAAAATGGCCCAGCGACCCCCCTGGGGGCTGCGACCCCCAAGTTGAGAACCACTGTGGTAAAACATCAAAACATCCAGGCGTCCCCTGGGCAACGTACTTGCAGATGGCCAATTCTCTCACACCAGAAGCGACTTGCAGTTTCTCAAGTTGCTCCTGACACAGAAAAAAAATCTCTTTGGAATAAGGGCGAGCATACCCTCTTGAATTTTCTGTCTCAGGCGGCAACATATTTGGCACCTCTCCTGCCTTTTATTTGCCACTATCTCGCCAATGCTTTCATGTGGACCACATACACTGTCAACATTTCTACACGTTACCACTGCCGCTTCCTATATTTGAAATGAATGGCTGCCATTATTGTGTGCCTTCAAGTCATTTCTGATTTCATGGTGACACGGAAGTGAAAGTTACTTTATTAATTATTTATTTAAAACATTTATATCCCGCCCTTCTCACCCCGAAGGGGACTCAGGGTGGAGCACAGCATATATAAACCCTAAACGGTTCTGGCCGAACGCATCTCCTCCTATGAACTGGCTAGTACACTAAGATCATCTGGGGAGGCCCTGCTCTCTGTCCCGCCTGCATCACAGGCGCGCTTGGCGGGGACGAGAGACAGGGCCTTCTCAGTGGTGGCCCCTCGGCTGTGGAACGCCCTGCCTGCAGATATCAGATCGGCCCCCTCCCTGCTGGCGTTTCGGAGGAAAGTGAAGACCTGGCTGTTCGAACAAGTATTTGATTAAACAGTGTAATTGAACATAGGAATACGGAATAATGGATGATGAGACTGGATTCTGATTTTACTGTTGAGGCGCTAATGATTGTTATACGGATGTTTAATGATTTATGTTACAATGGTTTTTAATTGCCCTATACTTGTCTCGTGTTTTGTATTGATGTTGTTCACCGCTTTGAGTCGCCTGAGGGCTGAGAAAAGCGGTATATAAATAAAGTAAATAATAAATATATGGCAAACATTCAATGCTGGGACACAAATTCACATACAATACATAAACATTAAAAAAAATCAAAATTTTAAAATACACTATTTAAACCCGTCCTACTCATCTGTGTAAAATCTAATTGGCCTGGTCATCTTTCCTATTGCCACTTTATTGCCCTGTTTTCTTGGCAGAATTTGTTCCAAGGGGATTTCTTCTTCTTTTCCTCAGAGGCTAAGAGAGTGTAACTTATCCAGGGTCATCCAATGGGTTTCCATGGCTAAGCTGGAATCTGAACCTTGATTTCTCCCAGAATTTGAGTCCAACACTTAACCCACTACTACACCATGCAGGACCCATATGAAAGTGAGAAATGTGAATTTAAAAATGCTAGTTTTTTAAAATGAGAGTACACCTCTATAGGAATTTTGGGGTCTTCCAGCATGACTCCGTGGTTAATGTCCACTGAAAGTGTGCCATATAATTGCACTGGAGGACCCAGACATACCTAGAACATTTTCTCTAGAATTCTCTAGTTCCTCTAGTATGATTTAGCTCCCTATTCCTCTGTGTTTCTCCCATGAAATGTGTAAAAAGTGTGCGAGGTCACCAATGACAAATTGCTAATTATGAGTCTACTGCTCCCAACATGTGTACAGTGAGAAGTATGGCCTATACAGCCACAATACTGACAAGCAACTACCAAAGAGTTATCATTTTGATCTTCTTTTTCTTGTCACTACTAGCACTCACTGAAATGATGTAAGCATGCACCTGTTGAATTCACCAGCCCTATTGTGTCCATAAAGCTACACCCAATACTGGTTTGCAGGTGCTGGGTGGTGATGCCAGCGGGCTCATCACCCCACTCTCACCATTCTTGAGAACCAATCACCTTCCTAGCCATGAATCTCAGTAACTGGACGTATAGGATTATTAGGAGGGTGAAAACTGGGAGGCAAAGTAGATCTTTGGAAGGAAAGCGGTGCAAGCAGACATGCTCATGCAAGTCTTCCCATTCATCCTTCAAGTGTGGTGTGTCCTCGATGGGCGTGAAACCAATTGGAGTAGGCAACGGAACCAGGAGCAATGGCTTCTTGGGAAGGAGATGATTTCAAAGAGAACTGAGACTACTCGGATACAGTACAGCAGTGTTTCTCAACCTTCTGAATGCCGCGACCCCTTATTACACTTCCTCATGTTGTGGTGACCCCCAACCATATAATTATTTTTATTGCTACTTCATATCTGTAATTTTGCTACTGTTATGAATTGTAATGTAAATATCTGATATGCAGGAGCAGGCCCATAGCCAGGATTTTGATTTGGGGGGGGGGGGGGGTCTGAGTGAAAGAGGGTCTACCCTAGCAAACCTTTTGTACTGTTACCCCAATACCCCCATGCATATGGGATATATTGAGCATGGTGATCAGATCATGATATGAATAAACATAACAGTTTAAATAATGTACCAGTAAGGCCTTCTTGCGGACCACCATGAGATTTTAAGCCCCCCCCCCCCCCCCGGCTACATGCCTGTGCAGGAGATATTTTCATTTGGCACAAAAATCCGATTTGAATATTATTGGGGTCGATTTGGTCATTTGGGAGTTGTAGTTACTGGGATTTATAGTTCACCTATAATCAAATAGTATTCTGAACTCCACCAATGACCAACAGAAAATACTGGATGTGTTTGGTGGGCACTGACCTTGAGTTTTGGAGTTGTAGTTCACCTACACCCAGAAAGCACTGTGGACACAAACAATGAGGGATCTGGACCAAACTTGGCAGAAATACTCAATATGCCCCAATGTGAATGGTGGAGTTGGAGGAAAATAGACCTTGACATTTGGGAGTTGTAGTTGCTGGGATTGTTTTCTGCTTCCCTGGAGGCTAGGACACGGAACAATGGCTTCAAACTACAAGAGAGGAGATTCCATCTGAACACGAGGAAGAACTTCCTGACTGTGAGAACCGTTCAGCAGTGGAACTCTCTGCCCCGGTGTGTGGTGGAGGCTCCTTCTTTGGAAGCTTTTAAACAGAGGCTAGATGGCCATCTGTCAAGGGTGATTTGAATGCAATATTCCTGCTTCTTGGCAGGGGGTTGGACTGGATGGCCCATGAGGTCTCTTCCAACTCTTTGATTCTATGATTCTATGATTTATAGTTCACCTACAATCAAAGAGCATTCTGAACTCCACCAGCGATAGAATTGGTCCAAACTTCCCACATAGAATCCCCATTAGCAACAGAAAATACTGTGTTTTCTGATGGTCTTTGGTGACCCCTCTGACACCCCCTCGCAACCCCCCCCAGGGGTCCCGACCCTCAGGTTGAGAAACGCTGCAGTACAGCATACATATCTGGCAGGTTATAGGTGCCTCTCTACTGTAGGATTAATACAGTTAGACTGTCATTGCTCACTGCTTTAGAATCCTAAGGAATAGTAGACTGAAAAGGTATCCACAGTCTTTGCTAAAGCTCATGTAAAACCACAACTCCCATAATTTCCATAGCACTGAACTATGGCAGATACTATGGTTTCAAATTCTACAGTAGAGATTCACCTTATGTGTCCTCCACTAGAATTCATTCATTGCTTCTCCTTCAGATTCCAACACCTTCCCCAGCCAAGACATCTCCTCCAGGCAACCTACCTTTCCTGTGGACTTGACACCCTTCCAGACGCAGAAATAGACAAGGACCCAGCAGGCGATGAGGCACAGGGTCACCTCCCAATTGATGGCCCCAGGGAACTCTAGGCCTCCTGAAAGATTCAGCACTTTGTTCCTGCAACCAGGAAGAAGAAGCGTAAACACTGAGAAGAAGTGGGTGGGAGAAGGTATTTTCTTAACCAGCAAACTGGTCAAGATGGCACCAAAAATCAATCCATCTCAGGGGTTTCGGGGGGGTTAGACCAGGGTAGGATGAGACAAGTGTCCAGACTCACTCCCAGAATTCGATGACGGGTGACCTTTTGTCAGAAAGTTCATCACAGGTCAGGTTGCCATGGGCAGTGCCGTTGGCGCAGTCTTCGTGCCGGAAGATCTCAACACACTCCAGGGAGTTCCACGGGTTCCCGCAGGTGGCCCAGGGCAGGGTGGCCGTGAAGGACTTCACCAGGTAGTAGAAACCCCAGGCAAGCACCATGATGTAGTAGGTGTTGCAGTAGAAGACAATCACCATGGATGCAAACCCCAGTCCTGTTTGGAGAAGTTACATTACTTGTACAGAGAAGCCGGCAAAAAGGAGGTGTTTTTTCTCCCTAAAAGTGTCAAGTGCTGTCCCAGTTCCTAGCCATTTCAATGAGCAAATTGGTTTTCATTGAACTGGGGTAGTCTCTACAAAAGTTTTAATTTTGCACCGACCAAATTAGGATTTTCCAGATGGTATAAAGCATAGGTCCACAAACTTTTTAAACAGAGGGCCAGGTCACAGTCCCTCAAACTGTTGGAGGGCCGGATTATAATTTGAATAAAACATGAATTAATTCCTATCCATACTGCACATATCTCATTTGTAGTGCAAAAAACACTTAAAAACAATACAATAATTAAAATGAAGAACAATTTTATCAAAGATAAACTTATTAGTATTTCAATGGGCAGTGTGGGCCAGCTTTTGGCTGGTGAGATAGGATTGTTGTTGTTGTTGTTGTGTGGTTTCAAGTCATTTCAGACTTAGGTTGACCCTGAGTGAGGGCTGGGTAAATGACCTTGGAGGGCCGTATCTGGCACCCGGGCCTTAGTTTGAGGACTCCGGGTATAAAGTATGTCATTTAAGTAAATGTGGAACATTCGGATAATTGACACTGCCTCTATTACTTATAGAGAGGAGTCCAAGAGCAATTCAAGGACTGTTGCTCCATCTCTGATCATTGAAAGTCAGACTCCGTCATCTCCTTGGCTTCTCAGAGTCCATTAGACACTGCTTACTCATGCATAAGGTCTAGAAACCTTTTTTAAATGAAAAGTTAAGATCACAAATAATTAGACAGCCATTAGGACATGTTGTGCTCCTTAAGAATCATGCTGTCTGCCGAGGTTTGACTCCCACTCCCCTTCCAAAATATATTTGCCAAAATATATGGATGCTCAAGTCCCATTATATACAATGGTGTCTTTATTGTAAAATGGCAAAATCAGGATTTGTTTTATGGATTTTTGGGGGAATATTTTCAAACCTCATGTAAGCCGTCCCAAGTCCCCTTGGGGGAGATGGAGATGGGGTATAAATAAAGTATTATTATTATTATTATTATTATTATTATTATTATTATTATTATGCCATGGAGGATGGAATCTGTTGATTTGGAAAGCTGACTGTAGTAGACCTTTCATACTTTGCATCTCTCCTGAACATCCTAACTTCAACTTGCTTAACAATAATAGTGGCTCTTGAACTCATTTCTCCTCAATCCATTACCTATCAATCAATTATGCTATGCATATTACCTTGCAGTGAGGGTGTTAGCCCACTATTAAGCAGTTAACAGTAATACATGGGATTATCAGCTCTGAATAGTTAGTTACAGAAGGGCTTCTGAACCTCTCGCTTTCCAGATTTCCTTCATTTCCATCCCATTTTCCATATAGACTGAAATATGGCCCAACTTACATGTCTGAACGTATCTCCCTTTACGAACCACTGAGGACTTTAAAATCATCTGGGGAGGCCTGCCTTTGTCACAAGTATGTTTGGTAGGGACGAGAGACAGGGCCTTCTCAGTGGTGGCCCCTCAGCTATGGAACACCCTCCCTAGGGAGATTAGATCTGCTCCCTCCCTCTTGACGTTTCGGAGGCAAGTTAAAATGTGGCTGTTCGAGCAAGCGTTTACAAATACAGAGTAGCTAATATAGGAAATCGAATGACCTGACAATGAAACTGGACAATGCTTGATAATAATGAGACGCTGACGATGTTGTTTTTACTGCTTTTGTGATGTTTTATACTGTTTAATGTTTTTATTTATATTATGTTTTATGTATACTGATTTGTTGGAAACTGTCTTGAGTCGCCGATTGGCTGAGAAAGGCGGAATAATAATAATAATAATAATAATAATAATAATAATAATAATAAACCTTTATTTATACCCCGCTAACATCTCCCGAAGGACTCGGTGCAGCTTACAAGAGGCCGAGGCCCAACACATCAATAAAACAACAGCATAACAAATACAACAATAAATAAACTCATAAAACAAGCAATAAACATTAAAACAATAGCAATAAACATTAGACAATAACACCATGACACATTTAAAACTAAGGTATACAAATACAGTAAATAAATAATAAATATCTGGGAATTAACATCCAAAAGACTTGCATAACCCAAAGTTGAGAATCGTTTTGACTAGAAGTAGTAATGGGAATCACTCTCCCTCCTGATATGCAACTTCCAGTATTCTTTGCAATTAGCTATGATGGCTAAGGCTGCAAATGGTTCAATAATAACTGGAGAACCCACATTCCCAATCCTGGCCTACAGCCTAATATTTTCAAAGTATGAAGCAAATCTCCCATCTTGAGTAGAAGGCTCGTGATTACAGAGACCTCAGGAATCAACTGTTGTCATTGGATCTGCATCTCACCCCATTTTGGTCCTCAACAGCAGGAGTGGAGGTTGGGTAGCCTTCCAACTTCTGCTATACTGCAACTTCTATAAGACTTAGCCAGCAAAGGATGATGGAAGTTGGAGTCAAATAACATCTGAATGCCCACAACTTCTGCAGAAGAGGAACGACAACTGAAGGAGTTGGTGAATTTGTACCCTTCAGGTCAACACTCATGGAAGGATCTTTCAACCACAACCACAAGGAAGAGGAAGAGAGGAAGCGTACTACATTGATTGCAATATGTATCTACCTATTCCAGACTTCCATCAGAACTATGGCTAACATCCAGCAACCTAGGGCTCCCAATGGCCTAATAGGGCTTAATGCCAACATCAGCCTCAGGCTCTCATTAAAAAACAAAGCAAGCCAGCTCCTAATTTTGTGCCGTGAGTTGGCCTTCGGAGCTGACTACATAATAATTTCCCACAATGTGTTTTCAAAGAATCATGGGACATTAAAGTGGCCGTTTATAGGGCTACTCAGAGCTTGATCAGTCCCAGAGACCGATGGGGAAAGAAGGAACTCGTAGGCCCAAGGTAGGGGGAGTTTCTTACCTTTAAAAAGTGGTGCGATGTTCCACACGTTGATGCTCCCGGCCTTCATGAACTGCCCCAAGGAAATTTCCAGGAAGAAGATGGGAATCCCGCCAATGAGGGCAATAAGAAGGTAAGGGATGAGGAACACACCTGTGGCCAGGTGAGCAGTACAAAGTAAGCAAGAGCCCCAACATATTTCTATCCTAGACCCAACATTTTTTTCAAAATATATACAATATTTCTAAATTGTGCTATGGAGAAAATGAAGACATTCCAATAAACTCTTAATTCATACAATTTCTTGGCTTTTTGCTTTGTTCAGTGATAAAAGACTCGAGTCTATATGGGACAATGGATGCAAACTCATTAATGCATCTATCCTTTAGGTTTCTGCGAGATCACCAAGCCAGTGTACCCTTACTGAGAACTGGGAAGCCCTGGCCCTTGAGGGCTCCAGCTGGAGGTCAGCTGTGACCAGCAGTGCTATAGAATTTGAAGAGGGTGAAAGAGAGAAACGTGCCAAGAGGAAGGTGCGTCAAGCCAACCCCAACCTGGACCTCCTTCCACCTGGAAACCAATGCCTTCACTGTGGGAGAAGATGCAGATCAAGGGCTCCGCTGTCACCTACAGACCCACCGCCAGGACACTGATCTTGAAATACTATCTTACTCAGACAACGAGGGATCGCCTAAGATAAGATAAGACCCTTAGTATACCCTTCACTATTATTGGTCTAGAATCAATCCCTACGTCTGTATGTCTCGTCTGAAATGCTTGGAATTAGAAGTGTTTGGGATTTCAGATTTATTTCAGTTTGGAACATCCATATTTGAATTTTTTTTTGTCATGTCAGGAGTGACTTGAGAAACTGCAAGTTGCTTCTGGTGTGAGAGAATTGGTCATCTGCCTAGGGGATGCCCGGATGATTTTGATGTTTTTATTATCCTTGTGGGAGGCTTCTCTCAAGTCCCCGCATGAGGAGCTGGAGCTGGTAGAGGGAGCTCACCCACCTCTCCCCGGATTCGAACCTGCGACCTGTCGGTCTTCAGTCCTGCTGGCACAGGGGTTTAACCTACTGCGCCACCGGGGGCTCCTATATTTGAAAATACATATTAATGACGTATCTTGGAGATGGAACCCAAGTATAAACACAAAATTAAGTGATGTTTCATATATACCTTATATAAATAACTTGAAGGTCGTTTTATACACACAAGCTCTTTGTGCATGACAAAGCGTTTGTGTACACGAAAACAAAGTTGTTACTGATCTCAGCCACACATGTGGATAATATTGGATTATGGAACATGTTTTGGATAAGGGGTGCTCAACCTATATATAGAAGGCATTTGGCAGTGAATACCAATACCTGGATTTCTTGGTGAATTACAATCTGCATTGAACCCACACCTCTTAATCTCTCTCCTCCAAATCGCTTTTGTTGAACAGAGATACATCCTGGGAGATTTATTGTTTCCAAGGCAAAACTCTGAATGGACAAAGGGCTGCAAAATAGAGAGGGAGAACAGATGTCTGAGATAGCTGCTAGGGAGCTAGAAAAAGGATAAGCAGAAAACATTCTGTTTTCTCTATGCTATAAAAGAAAATCTGCCCATGTCCATCTAAATTCCAAGTCTCTTTTCAGTTCCCAGGACCAGAAGGAGCCCCTTGGTACCTAGCTTTAGCCATACTGGGTACGATATCTGCACTTCTGCTGGCAATCCTGCCACTTCCCTAAACAGCCCTTGTTGCAGTTGTGACACTGACACACCAGCCCCAGGGCTATGATTGACAAGACGGTGTGTTCCCAGTGCACACGTGGGTATTAGTGTGAATCACCTCAGGGGATGCTATTTATATCATCTACACTCCCCAGGCTATGGGGAGCCCTGAGCCCTGCTCTCCTTCCTGCAAATCCCTGGTTAAGAGGATAATCTGGGGGACGTAAGATCTTTCCCATGTGGATTAACATGGCAGCGGTTGGGGAACCCATTCATCTTTGGGAGATGGAGAAGGCAATACCAAGAAGGGTGCATGGCTTTCTCTGCAACCTAGCATTCATTATTGTGGTAAATCTGCAATCAGGATCATTGCAGAGCACTAGTTGTACTTCTCCGTTCTCTTTCTTTTCAATCCCGTCATTTAGAACAGTGTTTTTCAACCTTTCCAATGCCGTGACCCCTTAATGCAGTTCTTCATGTTGTGGTGACACCCAACCATAACATTATTTTTGTTGTTACTTTGTAACTCTTTTTTTTGTCATGTCAGGAGCAAGTCGCTTCTGGTGTGAGAGAATTGGTTGTCCGCAAGGATAAATCAAATAAATAAATAAAATAAAATAATATAATCAGATATTTACATTACAGTTCATAACAGTAGCAAAATTCGTAACTGTAATTTTGCTACTGTTATGAACTGTAATGGAAATATCCAATTTTTTATTTTATTTTATTTTTTGTCATGTCAGGAGCGACTTGAGAAACTGCAAGTTGCTTCTGGTGTGAGAGAATTAGCCGTCTGCAAGGACGTTGCCCAGAGGACGCCCGGATGATTTGATGTTTTTATCATCCTTATGGGAGGCTTCTCTCATGTCCCCGCATGAGGAGCTGGAGCTGATAGAGGGAGCTCATCCGCCTCTCCCCGGATTCAAACCTGCGACCTGTCGGTCTTCAGTCCTGCCGGCACAGGGGTTTAACCCACTGTGCCACTGGGGGCTCCAATATCTTATATGCAGGATGTGTTTTAATTTGCTGGACCAAATTTGGCACAAATACCCAATATGCCCAAATTAGAATACTGGTGGGGTTGAGGGGATTGATTTTATCATTTGGGAATTGTAGTTGCTAGGATTTATAGTTCACCCCCAACCAAAGCGCATTCTGAACTCCACCAATGATAGAATTGAACCAAATTCAGCACACAGAACTCCCATGATGAACACAAAATACTGGGTTTGGTGGTCATTGACCTTCAGTCTTGGAGTTGTAGTTTACCTATATCCAGAGAGCACTGTGGACTCCAACAATGCTGGATCTGGACCAAACTTGGCATGAATACTCAATATGCCCAAATGTGAACACTAGTGGAGTTGGAGGAAAATAGACCTTGACATTTGGGAGTTGTAGTTGCTGGGATTTATAGTTCACCTACAATCAAAGAGCATTCTGATCTCCACCAATGATAGAATTGGGTCAAACTTGCCACAGAGAACCCCCATGACCAACAGAAAATATTGTGTTTTCTGATGGTCTTCAGCAACCCCTCTGACACCCCCTCGCAACCCCCCAGGGGTTCTGACCCCCAGGTTGAGAAACATTAATTTAGAAAGCTAACATATTGGCAGAGGCAGCCCTAGGTAATTTTCAACGGTAAGCAAACAGTATTTTGGCGCCCCCCCCCCCCAACCAATCATTGATATGGAGCAGGAACGAGAGGGGCTAGGCGAGGCTCAAGGGCCGGGCTCCTTCGGGAAGAGGATCGCCCGGCAGTGAGGCAAGGAGGCCGAGGCTCCCCCTGGACTGCTAGGGCTGTTGTGAGCCGAGGGGGTGCTCCTCAAGTGGCGTTCGAGGGGCATTTACAGAGGCGCCTCTGCACCCCTGGCAAAAAAAAGTGTACCGCAACCGCTTACTTTGCGTAATGGATGAGCCGCCCCTGCATATTGGGGTAATAGTTTTAGCTTTGTTTTTTTTCCTATCCTCCTTTTAGCATGCACAGATTTGTTTTTGTTTTTTTAAACAGCCACAATGATTGCCCATCTGTAGTTGTGTAGCTTTAATGCACCGTGAGAACTGGACTTGAATCAGAACTAATCGAAGTTGGCGTGAATTTCAACGTTTTTATTTCCGAAAATTTCAGACAATCAGGAGCTGCATGGGATCAGGTTTGTGCCCCATGAGTCATATCTAGCTGTCTCCTGCTTGACTATCTTTAGTGTTGTCCAGGGTTTCTCATGGTTAAATCCCAGCTCAGTTTTCAAGTCAGAATCAATTACTGATTACGTGCAGAAATAATGAAAGGAAAGAATGTCTCTAAGAATATTCAAATATTTTTTCTACAAAGCTTAAAAATATTAGCTTTTGGGACCAAGACCCCCTCCAGTGTCCCCCAGCCAACATGGCCACTGACATTTCTGTAATCCAAAAAAGGAGCTTTTCCAAGCGCTCTGTATTGCTCGCTGCACAGAATAACCGTAACTAGCGCTGCACTCCTGGGATTAGTGAGCAGGGCTTCCAGAATAGAAAATGTGGATTCTAATCAGATGTAATCCTCAGCAAATCTGGCTGTTAGTTTTCTTAATTATCAGTTCTAGTATAATGGGTATGTTTACTTCCCAGGTGCTAGTGCTAAGTGGTTCAAAAGTCCTACTCTAAAACTCTTTCCCTTTCTCCCCTCCTCCCTCTGCAAAGAACTCTGGGAATTGGAGTTTTATGGACAACCAACAACATTTTCAGCCTTTTTTTGAAGCTCTGGTTCCCCGGATACTTTGAAGAAAGCAATTAAAAGAGTTATGATGCCAATATATGTATGGAGTATAAATGCATGTCATGCGTTTCTCTACATAACTGACCGGTGACTCATTACAGACAGGGATGAGAGGAGATAGAAATCCACTTCTGAGCACATAGTTTTCACTGGGCAGCAACTATTTGCATGAGGACAACTTCAGAAGGCTGGTTGCCTAGAGCTAGCATGCTTACACCATACACAACAAAGGTTTTGTGAATGGCCCACATTCATGGTGCAATTGCCACTGTTAGTCCTTTCTGTACTGAATTCCCTTCTCTAACCTTCACTGTCCACAGTCTCCCCACTGTTTGCACCTGAGATTTTGGATCACAAATCATGACGGAAGTGGGATGAAGCCCTAATAAATCTGTCATCCTGGGACTATTTGCTTTTCAGTGGAACACAGAATCATAGAATCAAAGAATTAAAGAGTTGGAAGAGACCTCATGGGCCATCGAGTCCAACCCCCTGCCAAGAAGCAGGAATATTGCATTCAAATCACCCCTGACAGCTGGCCATCCAGTCTCTGTTTAAAAGCTTCCAAAGAAGGAGCCTCCACCACACTCCGGGGCAGAGAGTTCCACTGCTGAATGGCTCTCACAGTCAGGAAGTTCTTCCTCATGTTCAGATGGAATCTCCAAAAA